ACGGCATCAAATACTCTTTTGCCTTTGAGCTGAGAGACACTGGTAGATACGGATTCCTCCTGCCTGCCAAACAGATTCTGCCCACTGCCCAGGAGACCTGGCTGGGCCTGCAGAGCATCATGGAGTACGTGCGGGACCACCCCTATTAGTCTGGAAATGGACAGATACCATTAAAAGCTCTGTTTTGAAGCAAAATTAAATTGTGATCATTCCTTTTTGTGAATCCTTATTTTCCTAAACATGGCTTCTTTTCTTTTCTTTTTTCCCTCCCTCCCTCCCTCCCTCCCTCCCTCCCTCCCTCCCTCCCTCCCTTCCTTCCTTCCTTCTTTCCTCCCTCCCTCCCTCCCTCCCTCCTTCCCTCCCTCCCTCCCTCCTTTTTTTTTGTTTTTGGGTCATAACAGTAGTGCTCAGGGCTAACTCCTGTCTCTGTGCTCAGGGATCATCCTGGCAGGGTTCCAGGGAGCCTATAGAGTTCTGGGGATCAAACCCGGTTTCACCGTGTACCAGGCAAGTGCCTTGCCCGCTGTGCTATTGCTGTGACCCCTAACCCTTTTTCTAAGCTGGTGTAGAAAGCATTTCCCCCCACCGCCCCCTCCACTTTATTTAAACACCACGGTTTACAAAGTTGTTCATGATGATTTGTTATAGACATTCAGTCTTCCAACACCAATCCCGCCACGACTGTCACCTTCCCTCCACCATCATCTCCATTTTCCCACTGACACATCATTTCTTTGATCTATATTGCCCTAGAACATGTCATTGAGAATTCCTTTATCTTTCTTTCATATATTTACTTTAATAATATATTGGAGGGAGAGTTCAGGGTGAAGGCGTATATATTGCATGTGGCCTGGCCTGATTTGACCTCAGGCAGACACCATGTGCACTTGAGGCCCCAAACTGCTGCTGCTGGGGTGGCCCAGGTGATCTCCAGCACCACACGGCCTGGCAGCACCACGTGTCCTGGCCATCGTGTTGATCTGGGGGCTCAGTTGGCTGAGAATCACTGGGAAGGGTCCTCAGGTCTCCTGAGCACCACTTGGGAGGCTCCCCTGCCCCTAGCCCCAACCCCAAAATGTAGTTGTGGTGCCAGGGATTGAACTCAGGGCCTCAGTCATGCAAGGCAAGTGCTCTACTGCTGAGCTCTGGCCCTGCCTGGCCCCTTTCCATCTTGTCAATGTTTTCTATCCATCATGTACAAAATGTTCCCAAACTCCCTTACAGCGATGGCAAATATATACCTGTGATAAAATGAACCATTCTAAGAGCATGACTTGGTGGATTCCATACGTTTGCATTAAGTGTGTGGCACAGTCAGTGCCTGTTCCCGTGCCTTTTTGTCATTCCAAACTGAAGCTCTCTATCTAGCCAGCAGTAGCTCCTCTTCTACTTCCTCCTTCCGGCCTCTGGCAATCTGTATTCTACTTTCTGTCACGGTGACTACCATACCACAGGCAGGTGCAATCATGCATTTTTTGTGTCTAGCTTATTTGGCTGAACACAGTGTTTGGTTATTTATTTTTTTTTGTGTGTGTGTGTGTGGGTGGGGATGATTGGAGGCTGAGGTCACACCCAGAGGTGCTCAGGGCTTACTCCTGGCTCTGTGCTCAGGGATCCTGCTGGAGGGGCTTGGGGATTCTGTGTGGCACCAGGGATCAAACCAGAACTGGCTACATGCAAAACCACTATAATCTCTTGGAGTACAGAGTTTTCAAGATCCAGCCATCCATCCAAGTGCTGTGATGTAGGTCAGCACTTCTATTTATTGGAGGAAATATTTTTTTTTCTTTTTGGGTCACACCCAGTGATGCACAGGGGTTACTCCTGACTCTTCACTCAGGAATTACTCCTGGTGGTGCTCAGGGAACCATATGCGGTGCTGGGAATCGAACCCAGGTCGGCTGTGTGCAAGGCAAATGCCCTACCCGCTGTGCTATCGCTCCAGCCCCAGAGTAAATAAATTTTAAATAAAATCTTTTATTTTCAAACACTGTCCTCCCGTTGTTCATTGATTTGCTCTAGCAGGCCTGGTAACATCTCCATTGTGACACTTCTTGTTACTGTGTTTGGCATATTGAATACTCTCAGTAGCTTGCCAGGCCCTCTGAGAGGGGGGGAGGAATCGAACCCGGCTCGGCCGGGCTGGCTGCAGGCAAGGCAAACGCCCTACCTCTGTGCTAGAGCCAGAGAAATACTAATCAAGCACCTATGTTGCATCTGGAGTGCTGTTTGATGCTCCAAAGTCTGGCTCCCTGTTGCCTTTTGTGCTCTTGTTTTTGGGGTACTGCATTAATAAGACTGGTGGGGACCCAAGCCAAGAACAGACCAAGCTAGAGGGATAGGACGGTGGATAAACCTGAGCACTGCTGGTTGTGGCCCCCACAAAACAAAACAAAGGACTGATGTTTTTCCTCTTTGCCCATCCAATCTGGGCCTCAGGCCATGCGGTTTATCCTGAAATATTCACTCCATTAGAGATTGAGATGTTCTTCCATGCCTCCTCCCAACCCCCAGTGAATGTCTCTAGGAGAAATGGTAGGAAGTGAATTTTTAACTTGCCTCAAATTCTGCATCCTGAATTCTTTGGTTCCCATTCCTCCCAGATTCAGGTCTCCATCTCTCTTGTTGCTCATTTCAGAGCTGAAATCCATTTGGTGCCGTCGTATCCATCCTGGGTGACAGAGAAGGGTAGGTAGGAGTTCACTTTGAGTGGTGGAAGGAGCAGTGAACCTTGATACAGGTCCCCATATCCCCCTTACTAAATAAAGTCTTTTGTATAACAAACTTGAGCCAAGTCTTTGGGCAACTGCTTTTCCACTAAGATTTATTAGGTCTTGTTTAAGTTAAGCTTTATTTGTTGTATTTGCAGTTCACTTAAGAGTGCTCAGGACTTACACCTGCCTCTGTGCTCAGCAATCACTGCTGATGGTGTTGAGAGGACCGAATTAGGGTGCTGGAGTCCAAACCCAGCTTAGCCAGCTATAAGGCAAGTGCCTTCCCTGCAATACTATCTCTCTAGCCCAGGTATGTCTGAATCATGACTCCTGCTACATCGCTCCCAGATATCTTTGATATTTGGTTAAGTTCCTCTTTCATCTTTGATTGCTAAGATCTTGACCTGTCTTTGGTAACAGTTCTGTTAGGCCAACTAAGCAATGAGGGGCCAAAGCCCTCAAAGTCTTCTCAGTAAATTTCCAACCACTGACCCACACTGTCATCCTGTCTTATTGTATTTGATGTTGAACATAATAGGTATTTCTTATTGCCTGCCCCGCACCCCCCATGTTGCAGTCATCTGATGCTTGGTACTAAAGAACAACCCTGGGGCCGCATCCATGTGAAGCATGGAGCCCACCGTGGAGTTATACCCTTGGTGTCCTGTTGTAAAAATATTCAATAAAATAATGCTGTTCAATTTTAGAAAGTGTCGGAACAATGATAATCATAAGATATTCCCTGCCCATTTTCCATAATTACCACACCATATTTGATGGGGTTCAGACAGTAGGCTACAAATCATAGAGGGAAATATATATATATATACATATACATATATATACATATATATATATATATATATCACAGTCACGGTCCTCCCATTGTTCATCGATTTGCTTGAGTGGGACCAGTAATGTCTCCATCATGAGACTTGTTGTTACTGTGTTTGGCATATAGAATACATCACGGGTAGCTTGCCAGGCTCTGCCATGCGGGCGAGATACTCTTGGTAGCTTGCAGGGCTCTCCGAGAGGGGCGGAGGAATCAAACTCGGGTTGGCCATGTCGGCCGCTTGTAAGGCAAACGCCCTGCTGCTGTGCTATCGCTCCAGCCCATATAAATATATATATTCTCAGATATATATATCTGAGAGTCCAGCAAGCTACCAAGAGTATCCTGCCTGCATGGCAGAGCCTGGCAAGCTACTCGTGACATATTCGATATGCCAAAAACAGTAACAATAACAGGTCTCATTTCCCTGACCCTGAAAGAGCCTTCAATATGGCAGCATTGGGAAAGACGAGTAAGGAGAAGCTGCTAAAATCTCAGGGCAGGGATGAATGGAGATGTTTCTGGTGCCTGCTCCAGTAAATTGATGAACAATAGGATGACAGTGATACAGTGTGATATAGTTGGAACAATCGTCTTTAACATTTTCCACTCAGGACCCCTAGTCGTATTTACTATCCTTGAGCAAGAGCCAGAAAAAAGTTGGCCGTGGGAATAATAGTTGATGGGGGGCTTGTGGGATCTGAGGCTCCCGGGTCAGACACAGAGGCATCTGGACTCACGAAGAAACCATGAAGCACGAGTGTCTTCCATTTGCTCTGTTGCGACTCAGTGAAAAGGCACCCATCTCGGAGAGTAAGAAAGTCTTATTATAAATACCATTAAACCTGCAGACCCCAAGGAAAACGGACCCTTCACCCGGACTAAGATGTTCTTCCTTTACCATTTGCCTCATTTTTTTTATGCCTTTGGGAGTCATAAAAATGAGACACTAGATTTATCACTAAGGCCATAAACTCTCTTCCTGATGATGAGCTCTGGTGTAATCCTCTTTCACAGGCTGGTCAAGTGTGTGGTCTCAGAGAAGATGACTTGGGTGTCTTTGCTTGTCTTCACTTTTTTTTTATTGCTCTTGAGGGAATTCCATCCCAACCCGGTCCCTCCTATCAGCATAAATTCCATCCAGCACCATGGGGTTTGCCTCTTTGCTACAAAAAACACACTTTAATTGCCAGCTGATGAGCAATCTGGCACCGTTGGCACAGACTTTTCCAGCCTGAGGAGCGAGTTCCAGATCTCGTAAGACAATAGGCTTGACCTTTATCACCCCAAAGGAATGGCAGAGGCAGTGGGGAGGCACCTGCCCGGGCACTGTCAGAGCTGCAGGGGTGCTCGGGAACCTCATTAGCATTTTTGAGGATGTGAGTCGGCCTTGACCTCCTTATAAATACAGCTTGACTCAGCCCCTGTGTGCTGGACACTCTTGGGACATGAAGTGGCTACTGTTCTTGGGGGCCCTAATTGGGCCCAGCATCTGTGGCCGAGAGAAGTTTTTTGGGTAAGTTTCTTTGGGTTTAGGATTTCTTGGTTAATTCAGAGGGTGGGCAAATGGACTTGGAAACGGGTTTGGTCACAACTCCAGCTGGGGGGGGGGGGGGGCGTGGAGTGATGAGAAGGAAGAGCTGGGCTCCTAGCCTGGCTCTGGCAGGGTGTCGTTCTGGACAAGCAACCTTGTTGAGATGCCATTTTATCTGCGCAATCCAGCTTAGGCAAGCTCCATAGACCCTCATCAACTCCTGGAACGCTAGTACTTTTTTTTTTTTCGCTGTGTGTGTGTGTGTGTGTGTGTGTGTGTGTGTGTCAGGTAGGAGGTGGGGGTGGGTAGTTGGACCCCAGCTGGTGGTGCTTAGGACAGTAAGTATAAAGCTTACTCCTAGCTTTATACTCAGACATCACTTTCGGACATGCCTAGAAGACCAGAGTGGTGTCGGGGATTCAAACTGAGGTCAGCCTCACACAAGGCCACTGCCTGAACTCCTGTTCTCCAGAAGTTCTCATTCTTCTCCAGTTCTTATGCATAAGGTCTTTTCTAGGCAGCTCTTACTTTCTGACTCCTAGGCAACCAGTTCTTCAGATTTACTAAACATGATGACTTCTGGCCACGCTTCAGGGAAAACCTGGATTTTCTATGTTTGATCTTTTACCTGTCTCTGAGTGATGAAGGCTTAGTCTCAATCACCTTGGTGAGAGAGAGATTCCATAAGTTGCTTTAGCTGCAGCTGGGAAAATGGATCCACTTGTGTGTCCCTGTGCTCACACATGCAACCACTCCATGTGCTGCAGACTCGAGACCTGAGGTTTGAAGAGGAAAGGACATTCGGGCAATAGCCAAGCAGTCAGGCTTCGGGGGGGGGGGGGGGGGGGGGGGCTGGCCAGCGGACAGGAATCACTTAGCTGCACAGCGCTAGGCCACTTGCTTATCAGCTTTCAGATCACACGACTCTTCCCTGGGCCAGGATATTCTTTTCCTCAATCGAAACATGAACAAACAAACCAAAAATGATCTTAGGAAGATTAAGGAACGGGCCACAGTCCCCGCTCTGGGAGGAACTGTGAAACCAGGGGGCTGGAAGTCTGATGTCAGTTCATTTCCGGCTCGATTCTGCTATCAGCGGAATGATGTCTGTTGCTTTCCTCTCCATCACACTATCTGGCTACAGGGACTTTGGGGTTGTTTATGGAGGTAATTACTTATATGAGATTGAGTCATTTTTATGGGGATTACTTCTGTTCACACCTGGTCTCTCCTGCCAGATTGCTCCAAGGAATGAGCCTAGCAGGTGGCTGGGCACGGAGATTCTTCCCCAGCAGCTCAGCAGTGAGTGTGTAATCACCGTGCCCGCCGCGGTGTGGGCTGATGCATGGCGCTGTCAGCCTCCCTCTGCAGTGACGCATGTGCCTCGACATCTTTCTCAGGATGTAGACTTCTCTGTCGTGCTGCAGACACCTGGGTGGTGACAGCCGGTCTGGGCTCAGGTGTGGTCCTGGTGGCAGCTTAGCTGTGTCTGAGTTAACTGCAGATGGTTCTGACCCAGAGGTGATGTGAGGTGGGTATCATGCCCAAGGGCCTTACTCGGGTCCTGGCCCCTCAGTTTTTACAAGTGGAAGCTGGTCTTCAAGTCTTTGAAGAGTTGGGAAGCCGGGACACAGGCTGATCCAGAGGGGAGCCCAGAACTGACAGAGAGGGTATTTGATTCCTTCCACCAAAGTTAGCTCTTGCACACTGCTGGGGGCATCTGTCCTGGTCTTCCATCTTTTTTTTTCTTTTTTGGGTCACACCTGATGATACACGGGTTACTCCTGGTTCTGCACCCAAGAATTACTCCTGGCAGTGCTCAGGGGACCATACGGGATGCTGGGGATTGAACCCATGTTGGCTGCATGCAAGGCAAACGCCCTACCCGCTGTGCTATCGCTCTAGCCCTCACTCTATGTTTTGTTTGTTTGTTTGGGTGGGGGACATACACAGTGGTACTCAAGACTTACATCTGGCTCTCCATTCCGGGATCCCTCTTGGTCATACTCAGGGGACCAGATAGGTGCCAGGGATTGAACAGGGGTGAGCCGTGTACAAAGCAATTACCCTATTTGCTGTATAATCTCTCTGGCCCTCCGTCGAGCATCTCAAAGATGGGGTGGTGACTGGGATGCCTGGAAGTGCAGAGATGAGATTGCAGGTGGAGAACTGATTGAAGCTTTGGGGGAGGTTGGTGGCTCTTCAAGAGTCTCTGAAACTTGGGGCCAGAGGGAGAGAGTACAGCGTGTAAGAACATTCTGCATGGTGCAAGGGGGGGGGGGTGTAGAGAGAGCACCCAGGTGACTACTGGTACCCCCCCCCCCCCCCAGTGACAGGCTTGAGAAGGGTTGCCCAGTCACTGTGTGACAGGCTGAAGAGCAGAGCTGAGCATCACAAAGAGCTCCAAGTCTCTGTGTAGATTTCTAGAGGGGCAGGAAGTTGTGTTCAGGTGCATATCCTCTGAGGGTCTGAGCAGGGCCTTTCCACATAGAGACAGGAACATGGCGGACAAGGGAAAGGGTCTCCTTCACCTGGTGCTGATGTGTGTTCTCTGTCTTCAGGTCTAGATGGATCTATGTTCCTGAGAATAGTGCGGAGAACACTCTCTCTCTCTCTCTCTCTCTCTCTCTCTCTCTCTCTGCCCAGTTCTTAGTGGTGAATGAAGACTCCCTCTAACATGGGCAACTCAGGTTAGGAAGAACCTTACAGGTGACGGGAGTTGGTCTGCAAGCCAGGGTGAGAGGTAGCCTGGCAGAGAAGGAAAAGGCCAGGCAGAAGGTAAAGCATATGTCAGGACACAGAACAAACAGTGACATTGGGATCTCAGTGGAGCTGGAGGCAAGAGGATGGAGAAGAGGGAGATGGAGGAGAGAGAGAGAGAGAGAGAGAGAGAGAGAGAGAGAGGAGAAACTGACTTCTTTGTCCTGTCTCTCTGAACCGCCTCTCTGCACTCCCGCCTTCTGTATCTTCTCCTTCTGTATCTTCAAAAGCAGGGTCAATTAAGGAAGGTTGGGGTGGCTCAGGATTTAATCCTCATCAGGACCAGTTGGATTTACAGCATTCCCGTTGGCACACAGGATGTGCTTGGTAACCTGGAGTTTCTGTTGAGAAGCCACCCCCATGTTGGGAAAAGTCAGATGCTGCCCTTGGTGAGTGTGGCAGATGATTTCCACGCTCCTGAAGATGCCCCCGGCTTCGCACCTCTCCCTTTTCATCTTTGTTTTCCTTCCCCTCCTTGCCTGGTCACTGGTATCCTGGCCAAGGCTTTATTTCACAGATGCCTGTGGAGATATCTGTGTCTGTGATACTTTTTTTTTTTTCTTTTTGGGTCACACCCAGATGCACAGGGGTTACTCCTGGTTCATGCACTCAGGAATTAGTCCTGGCCGTGCTTGAGGGACCATACGGGATGCTGGGAATCGAACCTGGGTCGGGCCACGTGCAAGGCAAACGCCCTACCCGCTGTGCTATCACTCCAGCCCTGTGTCTGTGATACTTTCTAGAGCAATGGTTTTTAGCCCCCTGTTGCAGTTGTCAAAGGGTAAAAAAAAAAATCATTGTTTGAGAACGTTCTTTTCTTCTTGTGGTTTTTGAGTCACACCTGGCGGTGGTGTTCGGGATAGTTTTGTACTAAGAATGGAGCTTGGGCCTTCTCCTTACAATGCATGTACTCTAGCTCTCTCTGCAGCCCAAGAAGACCCATTTTTTTTGTCTTTATTTATTTTTTTATTAGTGAGACACCATGAGGTACAGTTATAGACTTACAAATTTTGTGCTTGGGTTTCAATTATACAATGATCAAATGCCCATCCCTCCACCAGTGCCCATTTCCCACCACCACGGATCCCAGTATCTCTCCCACCCCCCCATCCCCCCCATCCCACCCTGCCTCTGTGGCAGGGCATTCCCCTCTGTTCCCTCTCTCCTTTTGGGTGTTGTTTGCAAAAGAGAAGCATGCTGAAAGTAGACTATTGAACACCCATTTTTAAGATACTCCCCCCCCATACTTTTTTTCTTTGAATAATGGGTTTGGCAGAGGGTCTACACAGCCAGGAGTCAGAATGTCCTTCTGGTTGTCAATCCAGCCCTTTTCTGGGAGGCTCTTGGCACCCCCATTGGAGAAATGGCTTCAAGTTCCACCTTCCTGAGCAAGTTGCTTGGGTTTACACTGAGAGCTACCCCCCTAGTGAGATGTCTCCAGCCACCCCAGGCTGAGCTGAAAGGCCAATTTTCACCTTTAACATGGCCTCTAGACCTCCCCAGTGCTGTGAGGATTGCCCAGCCATGGACATTGCTTCCTGAGGGCTGGACTTCTTGTCCCTGGAGAGTTCCTGGAACCTGCCAGAACAAAGTTAAACTCAGAGAGGCCATCCAGCTAGAGCCGGTTTGGTGCTGAGGAGATGGGGCGCTGCCACGTGAGGCTGTCTGTTTAGCTCCTTGTGACAGGACCATTTTCTCTGTCAACAGGTCCTTCAGCCCACAGCCCTCTCCAGCAGCTCTTCCCGCATTCATCCCGTGTCAAAGGGATGACGCATGTGACAGCGTCAAGTGCGGATTCATTGGGCTGTTACCTAGCAACGGCCTAATGGCTTCCCCTGGCTCCCCAAGCCGGCTGGGAGCACAAAGGCAGCTTTTCAGGCCTGGCCTCTCCCACCCACACACAGGACTTAGGGGGCCTCTACCCCTGCCTCGCTGCACGGCTAAATAGTGTCTCTGGAACAAGTGCGGTATCACAACAAAGCCGGCGAGACTGGCGACTCCCTGGTGGGCCCGCCAGGGCCTCCTGGGGGACAATTCAATCCCTTCTCTGGCCTCAGCACCTAGGTCCTCCAATTCTCCGTGTGTGGGACGGTCTGGAGCTGGAGGAGGCGTTGAGGAAGCCCCCCTGTCTCTTTGCAGGGAGGGAAAGAACTAACCCTCCAAGGATGGATGACCTGGTCTCCACTTTCCCCCTTCTGTTTGGTCTGTTTCTGCCTGAGCCCCTGACAGTGAAGAAGCACTTCTTTATGTCTTGAGTTAGCTTTGCGTGTCACTCAGGAACATTCCTTTCTGAAAAAAAATATATGTTTTTCATTATAAAGTAATGGCCACATGACAGAAAACAGATACAAGGGGTGGAGTCAGCCATCCATAACCCCACGACCCAACATAAGCACTGTCAGCGTTTGCTCTATTTCCGTCGTCTGTTTTTCTTCCAGTGCATCTGCTTTTTCCATACTTGTAATCATGGCATCCATACAATTTTGTGTCCTGCTTTTCCACTTAATATTTCCCTTCAAGTTATACCATAAGCACTTTTTCATAGTTGCCACGTCGTCTTATTTTTAATGGCTATACATTATAACCAAAGGCTAGACCATTTCCTCCCGTTCGGCCCAGTTATGTCTGGGATAGGAGACTTGGATTTATTTACCAGCTGAAAGCTGACCACTTTTTGTTTTTCTCTTTTCTTCTCTTTTATTTATTTATTTTTTGACTCCAGGGACCAAGTTTTTAGGATTAATGCCAGAAATGGAGACGAAATCAGCAAACTGAGTCAACTGGTGAATTCAGATAATTTAAAGGTACTTGGTCTTGGAAATCTTCTAGAAGAATTATCTTCTGCTTCCCTCACCCAACACCAATCCCTGCTCTGTTATTCCCGAAGAATTTCTGGGTCGAATCCTGTTCATCGACACGCCTTGACCTGGTGGGGGCGGGGGGGGGGGGAGGAGGAAGTCCTGGGAGAGAGAGGCGGCCAGGCAGGTTCCGGCTCCAGTTCCATCGTTAGTTGCCGTTGGCTTATTACTTGTTGCTGGGGTCAGGTGCTGCCTGCTGGCTGGCCTGACTGGATCTAGTTGCAAAATGGTTAATCCTGTCCTCAGGAGAACCTTGCCTCTTTGGGATTACGCTGGCCTTTGGCAGTTGTTGGAGAAGAATGAACTCATTGTGTCTTTTACCTGAACTGTCCTGAAATCTGATGTTATTTCTCTTCCCTTCAGCTCAATGTCTGGAAGTCTCCCTCCACCTTTGGCCGTCCTGTAGATATCCTGGTGCCATCCGTCAGTCTGTTGCCCGTCAAATCCTTCCTGAGATCTCAAGGATTAGAATTCTCCGTGACCATTGAGGACCTGCAGGTGGGTGACCATCGCCTCTCCCTCCTCTTGTGCAGGACCCTTTGGCCAGAGTAGACCTGAGATATTTTCAAATTCTGCATATCCATCACTGTTTTATAGATGAAGAAACTGAGGAAGAGAGAAGTCAATGTTAAGACTAGTTAGAGAGACACACAAAAATGTTAGGAACTGAAATCTGGATCCAAACCCCAGTTTGCTCAACCACTAGCTGTGTGACATTGGACAATCTAGTATCACTTTGAACCTCTCTTCATTGCTAAAATGGTAATTGTGATATCACCTTCAGATGACTTGTGGGGAAGATTAAGTGATTAAATATCTAACGGTCTCACAAGTATTGTCTTTTCCTATCTCTGAAGTCAGGAGGGAAGAAGAGATGAGGTGGGAGGGTGGTGTCAGAGACAGGCTATAAGAAGCATCCTTTAGAAAGGTGGGGTGTGGCCAACAGCCCCCAGCAGGCAGAATGTCCCTCTTCAAGCCATGACCTGTATCTGAACAGCAGGACCATGCTGGACTCACGTTCTCCTTCACCGAGGTGGGTTAGAGACTAATTGGTGATTTGGCCGGGGAGTTTCCTGATGGTGTGAGCAGCTGTGAGCTTATTAATCATCCTCACATGTCACAGACATCTGCCAGGAACCTTCAAAGTCTGAGTGGTTATAAGAATTTCTTTGTTTCGGAATGGTTTCCCAAGCTGTGTGTTTCAGAGGCCCTGGATACCAGATGCGGGCTGATGTCTAGAGAATTCATGGTAGAGGATAACCAAATAGTACATGTGCTGAATCCAGGGTGTAAGTGGATTTTTGAAGGGGGTGATGTATGTGGGGTTCCAGGAAATCATATTTTAGAGATATGTGGGAGAAATCTGACCTTGTCGCTCGCTTTGACATTTGTGCTGCTTGGTATGCATGCCCGTGGGCCACCATCTTGGCAACCCAAAAGGAAGTACCACAAGCCTTCTTCTCCTGGAGATGGCTTCCTAATTGTACCATGTCTGCTTTCAGGCTCTTTTAGATCATGAAGACGAAGAAATGCAACACAATGAAGGGCAAGAACGAAGCAATAATAATTTCAACTATGGGGCCTACCACTCACTAGAAGCTGTAAGTATTTCGGAGATGCTTCAGATCGAGGTCATCTGCCTTCTAGGTTTTGTAACCATTCTTTTTCCTTCCAGAAGGCACCGTCCTTAGCACCAGAGCCTTCCAGCGAGGGGTTAGAATGTGCATAGGCACACCTTGGAGACTTGTGGCTTCAGGTCTGGATCACAACAATGATATTGCCAGAAAAGGGACTTGCGCTGATTTTTTTTTTTGTTTTTGTTGTTCATTTTCCATTGCACAGAAAGGTTATCTAGTAAGCATTGCAATAGTATTTGGTATCAAAAAACAATGTCCACATTTTAATTTAAAAATGCTTCATTGCTAATAAGAAACACTAACCATTTGTTGGAAAAATAATGCCACTAGACTTGCTTCAGCAGGGTTGTAGAAAGCCTTCAACACGGAAAAAGCTCAAAATCTGTAAATAAAGTGTGGTATGCTTGCCCACTCCAGTTTCTAATTCTTGGGGAGCTTGACGCTCACCATCAAATAAAAGCATAGTGAAACACAAACAAACTTCCCTTCCACATGCATTTTTTTTCTTGAGGCACCAAACTATGCAATAATTGCAACCATTTCCAATCCTTGTAATTCAACCCCTTCGTCTCCCCCCATAATCCCTGTATTTCTTTCCTCCAGATTAAAAATGTACTTATTTCAGGCAAAATAGACAAGCGGTTATTTTTAGGTTAACCAAATATTTCCACTCATTTATCATAGCAACTTATGCATTTGTTCCATCATGCACTTCGGTGCTGTGTTTAGTTAGAAGCCACTTTCTATAGATGACAGATTTTCAAGGGCAGCAAACCCTTCGAATGAACAACGTGGAGCCGAACAATTTCATGTGAAACGGGGACCCAGAGGAATCAAAAGGGTCGATAGACATGTGACATAGTCCCCTACGTTTCCTCAGTGTCCTCTCCTTGCCTCTGGGAAGTGTGCCAGCCTGGGAACACTTTGCCTAGCTGGATTCATGTTCTTTTACTTGAACACGTGCTGTTTCTTTATACCCAAACCTGGTGTTCCAGGACTGGCTTTTTTTTTTCCTTTTTTTTAATGAGACCTAGTCTTTGAGTTGTTTTTCTTAGAGAAGAGGGATTCTTTCAAAGGTTCACCAACTATTTCCGTTTTCTTCCCAGGATTGTTAGTAGCTCTGTTTATTGCGTGCACTTCCAACCGCACTGCCCCTTGATCCCTCTTGTGACCAACGAGTTACATCTGCAGAGCAGCTGGATAAAGTTAGGAGTTCAGTCTGGGGCCAGGGACAAAAGCAGAACTCCAGGCCCACACAGGGATCAAACCCGTGGTGTGAGCCTCATTAACACGGGGTCCTCCAAAGCCGAGCTAACCAGTTGCAAATGTCACCCGAAGGCTCCGGAAACTCTCCCCTTACCTGCCCGCTGTGGGGAGCTTGGCTTTCTCACCCACTCGCTTTTGTTCTCTGGCTCCGAGGTGTTATGGCCATCTGCTTGACACCTCTCTCCGGTTCCCTGAGAGACCTTCCGCTGGTGCTGTGGACGGGTGCCCTATCTCCCTCCCGCCTCAGTCCAGCTCAGCTTTGAAGAACTTAAAGCCAACCACTCCTTAGGGCCTCGTCAGTCTGGCGGGAATTTCATGCCAGGGTTTCTCGTGTCAGATCTTTTGTGTATGTGGTTATGGTGGCTGTTATTTTTGTTGGTTCCGAGGGTGAATTTCCCTCCTGGAGGTTAGCAGTGTGAATTTGGACACCACCACCCCCACCCCCACCCCCACCCCCGCCCCCGTCTTGTCTGTCTGGACACCACATGGTATTTGAACGTTTCTCAGCGGTGTAGTTTTTCCCCCCCATGTCTGGGGGCAAGGCATTGGGTGTTAGAGGTCTATTTTTAGGGCCAGTGGGCAAAGTTACTAAGTTCTTTTAATATTTTTGCCCTCCCCCCCGTGGTTAGAGTTGCTAATTCCCAGCTCTCCAGTGCCAGTTCCTTACTGAGTGTTGGGTACCAGGCCTGCCCTCCTAGTCCAGTTGCCCACCTTCCTTCTGGGCACCCAGAGCAAGTCTCTGATACTAGGCTTTTCTCTCTAGCCATCCTCTCCTCTTCATTCCTGGCTTCCCCTGCCCCCCACCTTTTTTTTTTGACTCTTCAATTTGCTTGTGAATCATTTTTATTGTATTCCATCGGGCTGGCCTCTCTCTTCAGGGTTGGTTCCTCGCTCTGCTCCGTTTGCCTTAATAACTGCACGTCTGATGAGTCCCTTTAAGCTTGATTTTATTCTGTATTGATTGCACATTTCTCCTCCTCTCTAAGCTCCTTTCAGTTTCCAGGTCTAAATATAAATTTGTTTATATTTTTCCTTCTTTTGATTCTCAAAAGGTTCAAACTCCTAGGATGGATGGAGGCTATTTAAACTGTGGCCGTCGTTGTTGTTGAAAGCAAATGGAAGAATTTGTAACCACTACTCTCAGCTCTTGTTCTCGCAAAGCTTTTAGAATAATCATTTCCAAAGTGAGGTGCCTGAACTGTAGGGAGGGTAATAAGCAAGATGGGACGGAGGAAGAAGCGGTTACACCTTTTATTTGTACTTCGGTGAATATATGTAGACACTTATTATTCATGCAGCTGCAGTTATTTCCTTTTGTTTGCGGGTGGGTGGGGCGGGGGTCTTGCAATGTACACACACAAGGATGGAGAAAGTGATCAGAAAGTTTGGAGATCAGTGCTGTTAAGAACGTTCTCAATGAGATTGGGTCTATATCAGCCTGGCACTAAAAGGCCATTGAAGTACCCGTATGCCACCTTTCTCCTAGGTTAGAAGAACGTAATTTTGTAGACAAACAAAATGTGTAGTGAACTCACTAGGTAGACAGTTTCTCGAGATTAAATTTTCCAGGTCCACATAATGTCGGCCCCAAGGCTGGGGACTAGAAGAAATCATTAAGATCAACAAGATAAAGTTCACAGACATCTGGCTAGAGCATTTTATTTCTGTATTTATTGATTTATTGGTTGACTGATTGTTTTGGGTCACACATAGTGATGCGCAGGGGTTATTCCTGGCTCTGCACTCACACATTATTTCTGGTGTTGTTCAGAGGACCATCCAGGATGCCAGGGATTAAACCTGGGTCAGCCATGCGCAAGGCAAATAAATGCCCTACCTGCTCTGGCCCCTGAACAAGAACATTTTACATACCCTGACTTCCCTTTTTTCCATGCTTCAGATTTACCGTGAGATGGACAGCATTGCCGAGGAATTCCCAGAGTTGGCTAGCCGGGAGAAAATCGGACATTCGTTTGAAAACCGGTCGATGTACATCCTAAAGGTGAGGAGCCACGCGTGGCCAGGGACCCCCCTGGGGTTCAGGTTCCTGGATTCTTATGTGCAGAGCTCAGCCCTCAGTCTCTGGAGAGGCAGCTTTGGTCGGACCCCCTTGGAGAATCACCTTCCTGGATATGAGTTTCAGCATGTGTCCTGTTTTCCCTCGCCGTGGTAGGAGGTAGAAGGAGCACATCCCTCTCTGAGTCTTTTGCTTGGGTTTGGTTTTTGCCTTTTAAACCATTCCTGGCGGTGCTCAGGACTTAATCCTGTCTCTGCACTTACAGATTACTCCTGGGAGGGCTCATGGGATGGTATCTTTCGCTGGGATGGAATCCTGGTTGGTGCTTTACCCGTACATGCTCTCTCTCCAGCCCTCTCTATAAGTCCTGACTGAGCAGCTGGATGACAGAAAATAATGGGGTATGGGGGAGGGGGAGGATATGTGGTTAGTATTCCAGAAAGTTCTTAGGTGGGGCACAGTTTGGGTTTTTTTTGTTTTTTTTTTTTGTTTTTTGCTTTTTGGGTCACACCTGGCCATGCACAGGGGTTATTCCTGGTTCTGCACTCAGGAATTACTCCTGGCGGTGCTCAGGGGACCATATGGGATGCTGGGAATCGAACCCGGGTCGGCCACGTGCAAGGCAAACACCTTACCTACTGTGCTATTGCTCCAGCCCCACAGTTCGTTTTTTTGTTTGTTTGTTTGTTTGTTTTTGCCTTTATTTCCCCCTCTGTCCTTAGCAGGACCAGTTGGGATAGGCCTCTGATTTATAATCTACTTTCAAGGGTATTTATTGGGATAATGATTAAGAGAACTCATTTTTAGGGTTGAGGTCATTTTAAGCCCAGTCTAGGCTCCTTGGTTGTATAAAGCCTCATTTCCAGAAATTTCTAACAGACCCAGGTCTACATTGGCAAAGGAGCTAGAAAATTTATGGCAGTTGACCTGTGTTACACAAATAATCCAACCGAATGAAATAAAAAGGAATTTGGAGAAACAAACCCAGGAACATTGAATGCTGTTAAGGATTTGTGAGATCCTCAGCTTCCCGCGTCCCTGAAGAACCCAGGCTGAGAGCAACGGCTGCTGCATGACCAGCCGGAAGAGCCGAACGCTGAACTGGGCTCACGGCTTGGCTGTCTGTTTCCAAGAGCAGTTTGCAACCTTGTTGCACCTGGTTTACATTATTTGCCAACTCTGGTGGAGCCCGGACTTCATTAGCACCAAACTCTGACCCAAGGGACCCAACACTCAAAGGCAGGAGCCAGAATTCATTTTATGTCACCTTCAAAGGGCTCTCACCAACCAACCCCCCCCCCCCTTCCTCACTTTAAAGCTTTTATTTTTTTTTCCCTTCCCTATTTTGCATCCACCAGAACTGGCTAGTTCATGCCCTCTGGTGTCCCTCTCGGGGCTACCCTCTGAGGTCTTTGGAGAGCCCTAATATTACCTCTGATCTCACTGGCATTTTCAGTGACAATAGCGGTTGTTTCGCCTGACTGTGTTTTTGCTCGCAATCCTGGAGTGGGTTCATGCTGCCTGGCGCTGCCGTGTGGGCGCCACCGGCCAGCCAATTTAGCGTCCTGGTCACGGAGCAGCCCGGTAATAGATGTGCCCTCAGGAACATTTGGTCTCTGAATGATCTTAAGTGGGGGAAATGAATAGGGGCGAGACGGGCAGCGGGGAGGAGGGCGGAGAGTCAATCTCCGGCTTCTCGTCTGTTCCACAGTTCAGCACCGGAGGAGGCGGGCGCCGGGCTGCAGTGTGGCTGAACGCAGGCATCCATTCCCGGGAGTGGATCTCCCAGGCTACTGCCATCTGGACTGCAAGGAAGGTCATATTGCCTGCTCTTAGCCAAGGTTTCTGGTGGGCTCTGGGGCCCCTGCAGCGTCCCCCAGGAGGCTGGGCTGAGGTGGAAGGTGTCTCCTAGCCACTCTAGGTTGGGGATCTTTTTCAGAGAGGAGCTGCAGATGGTCAGTGCTCCCCTGGACAAACCCGTAAGCTGCAGAGGTGACCTCGACAAAAGCTTTCTTTTTTTTTTTTTTTTGCCTTTTGGGTCACACCCGGTGATGCTCAGGGGTTATTCCTGGCTCATGCACTCAGAAATTACCCCTTGGCTCGGGGAACCATATGGGATGTGGTGGGAATCGAACGCCCTACCCGCTGTACTATTTCTTCCTCCCTAACCTCAACATAAGCTTTCACCCCTTTCAAGCACCCTAGGCATAGCCCCTTTGGCTATGTCTATGCTCCCCCCCCACAAATCAGCCGCTCTGGGAGAGGTGGGAGGTGTCTTGGGAGATCTGTAGGGGTCCCCCCTGCAGGCGTGATTCAATTTCTAATGCCTGTTAGGATGGAAAGAATGGGAAAATCAGGACCTATTGCAGCTAATTTTGAGGTTCACTAGATTTTTTTAAGTGTTCTGAGAAGCAAGTCTGGGGGCGGGGCATGGAGGTTACAGAAGGTTCTAGAATGTGGGGCCTCTGAGGCAAATCCATGGCTTAGGCCTGCAGCATGGCAGGGCTGACAAATTCATTGTCTTTGCTTAGATTGCGTCTGATTATGGCAAAGACCCGGTTATCACCTCCATTTTGAAGAAAATGGATATTTTCTTGTTGCCCGTGGCTAATCCTGATGGATATGTGTATACACAGAACCGAGTGAGTAGCACCCTGTAGGTTGGGCACGGTGTTAAGTGTGTGAATGCTCTTGCTCTGCCACTAATTGTTGTATGACCTTCTGAGAAATGTCCCCCAAAGTGCGTGGTATGTGGGTCTCATTTTTCTAGGCTATCTCAAACTTTAGAATCAACCAAGGAGTCTTGTTTGGTTAGAATCTGATGAAATCCTCATCATAGATCTCAAATAATTATCAACACTTAACCCATCCTTATCTCATTACTTTCCATCTCACAATCTTTTCTTCAGAAATATTTTAATTAGCTAATGCAATTTGGATTAGTGACAGGAATCAAACTCCAGGCCTCATGAATGCCAAGCAGGTGCTCTACCACCGAGCTCCATTTCCAGTCTCCTAAAATTTTTTTTTGCTATTTTTGGGGATACACCCAAGCAGTGCTCAAGTTTTCTTCCTGGCTCTGTGTTCAGAGATCACTCCTAGTGGAGCTCAAGGGACCACATGGGGTGCCAGGGATTGAACCCAGGTTGGGAGCATGCAAGGCAAATGCCCTACTTGTGTATATATAATACACAAATGTGTGTCTATGTGTGTTTGTTTATATCTATATCTGTCAGAGAAATCCAATAATTTGTGTTTTTTGGCATGTCTCATAGTCTGAGTTGACTGATGAATTCTTTGCCGGGTGCCCTTGTGCCTTTGTCCATGGTATTTCATGCTCCGTGATGGTCAGATGCAAAGACTTGTCAGCACCCAACTAGCTTCCTTTGGCAGGAATTCAGCAGTTTCTGTGCCCTTCCTTGGGCATCAGGAGTCACGGTGGAACCCATGGGCAGTTTGTCCCACTTTTGGGAGGTTTTGTTTTTTAGGCTATACCCAGCTGGCATGTGCCCAGGTACATGTCCCATATGCTTGAACCCAGGGATCACTCTTGGCAGGTTTGAGGGGCCACATGAGATGCCAGGGATCGAATCTGGGTTAACTGTGTGCAGTGCAAACTCCCTACCTGCTGGACTATCACTTAGCCCACCTTGTTGCACTTTCATGAAAGCAAAAAAAGACTGAAGGAGGAGGCAGGGTTTAGGATGTGTCAGTACTGGTTCTTAGATTATTACGCACTGGTCAGAGCACTTGGGGCCCACCCACTTTTAGAACTAGAAGGGCTACGTTGCTTTTGTGGGGGGCAGTAAGAGAAGGCATGAGGAACCTCCAGAGCAGGGGTTGTATCCCCACCCCATCCTTGGTCCTAGGAGCTCATCTCTATCAACACCTAAAAAAAAACCTTTGTGGGACTGGAGAGACAGTACAGTGGGGACAGCACTAGCTTTGCACACGGTCTACCAGGGTTCGATGCTCACGTCCCATATGGTCCCTTGAGCACTGCCAGGAGTGATTCCTGAGTGCAGAGCCAGGAGTAACCCCTGAGCACTGCTGGGTGTGGCCCCCAAACAAAGCACAACAAACAAAAAAGCCCTTTGCTGCTCGGGCACCCTGACCCATCTCTTGATATTGTTTTTCTCTCTCCCCTCTGCCCCCACCCCGGCCCCGACACTGAATTTTTCAGAACCGGATGTGGAGGAAAACACGCTCCCTGAATCCTGGCAGCTCCTGTGTTGGGGTTGACCCCAATAGGAACTGGAATGCTAGTTTTGCAGGTAGGTGGGGAAATGCTTTCCAGTCCTGTTCCCTTGGGGAGTGGGGTCACAGAGCTTGGGGTTCTCAGAGCTCTATGCCATAACTGGGCTTCCGTCGCTCATCTCTCTAAGCCATGGAGGGTGTGTTCTTTTCTGGGTCTCCTTTGTGGATTTTATACATTTGAGGGAGGTATCATTCTGTTTTTATTTTGTTTTGTTTGGGGCCATAGCCCGCAGTGCTCAGGGGTGAACCCCTGGCTCCATGCTCGGAGTCTGGAGGTGCCAAGGATGGAACCTAGGAACGAGAGTCTGTCACGTGCAATGCTTTACCCCCTGCTATTTCTCTGATCCCTGAGACTGTCATTCTGAATAAGAATGACTCGGTGGGTCCCTGGCTTCTGAGAGAATGCTCATCTTTTAGAAATGGTTTTGTCTTAGACATCTAACCCACAAGGCTTCTTTATACAGTGAACACACTGGCGATCCTGTCTTGTCTCGGGCAAGTGACTGGGTGAAGGGGCCCTGGGTGGCAGCTTGCTTCCTTGGGACGCTGAAACTCTAGCCAATGAGCCCCAACTTTTGATCTAGGAAACTCAGTCCTTTGAAGTGATGGCAGAGAGTGGGAATCAGGAGACCTGAGTAAAGACCTTCAGTCCGCAACAGCCCCGATAGAGTGTCAATGGGAAGCCAGGTCCCCAATATTATCTCATTTATTTGTCTGACCTAGAGGGTGAGTTTCAGTATCTGAGAAAAGAACCCTGGAGCTCAGAGGCAGTCTCAAGTGTGAATGACTTACAGCCTAAACTCACCTTCTGGTTCCAAATGTCTCTCTCTCTCTCTCTCTCTCTCTTTCTCTCCCCCCCACCCCCCGTTGCTGTGCTGTTGTTTCATTTTTAATCGACTTATTAAACTTGTGTAAAAGTTGCAGGAGGAGGAATAATAGGACTGTGGGAAAGGAGATGATTCAATTGTGGAAGCTGATGACATCAAAGTGAAGCCGGCAATCTTCACAAATGGGGGGAGGGCATGACTCCCCTCCTCCGCAGGCCTCAGGGAGCTAGCTTATGAAGGAATACAGAGGCAATATTTCTAAATCCTTGTCAAATAATCAAGCGACTTTTAGCCACAACAATAGATTATTTTTGGAGGTGGTTGGCCACTAACATCTGAACCAAGAGAATGAGTTGACGGCAGAATAAATGGAGCCATTTTCATTATTAATTGGCATTCATATTAATTACCTAGAATACTTACGAATTACAACTCATTGTCAAGTGTGATGTTAATTGTTTATGCCAACTCTTAGTGATACAATGCAAGGTCGACGCCTTCCTTTTAGGCATCCCACCAGTTTTCCTGCATGGTTGTGTCTTCCCTGGCAACCCTGCCCTCCCGCTTCTCTTCCCTTCCCGTGAAACACCACGTGCTATGTTGGTTGAAGAGATAGTCCAGGGCTGGGGCACCCGCCTTACATGCAGCTGACCCTGGTTTGATCCTTGGCACTTAATGTTTCTCTGAGCACAAAGCCGGGAGTAGCCCCTAAGTCTTGCTGGGGATGGCGCCCTCTACCCCCTACACACACACACACACACATACACACACACACACACACACACACACAGTGGATTGCATCTGGGGAGTGGGGAGCAGTCCTCGCCTGTGGGCTTAGCCATGATCCCTTCCTTCTGCCCCTTGTCTGGTTGACTATCCCGCTTTTCCGTTTTCTTGGCTTGTGGGTGAATGTTTCTGCTCGGGCCTCCCCCAGGTAAGGGAGCCAGTGACAACCCCTGTTCGGAAGTGTACCACGGACCCCACGCCCACTCAGAGGTGGAAGTGAAGTCGGTGGTTGATCTGATCCAGAAGCACGGGAACTTCAAATGCTTCATCGACCTGCATAGCTACTCCCAGCTGCTGATGTATCCATACGGCTACACGGCCAAGAAGGCCTCGGATGCTGACGAGCTGGTGAGGGACCCACCCGCTCCCCTGGGGTGCTTCGGCTTTCTGGGAATTCTTTGATGCCTGGATTCTCTCATTAAAGCCCAGGTCTTCTTTCCCAGCCCTGGAGCTATGCCATCAGCCCTGATGGCCCCCCTTCCTTCATTGTTGGTGGGGACTTCCCAGAACCCCTGCTGACCCCTGTCTTTTCTTCTGCCCAGGGCCTCAGTTACTCCCCACACCTCCCGAGGATGTGGACTCCTGGCTTCCTATGCCTGGAGTCTGGCCTGACGGTCGGGGCGGTGGCGCTCTTCATGGAGGGGGTGGGGGCATTCTTAAAGGGCAGCTCTGGCTTTACTTCTGCCCTGGACACACCAGCTAGCTTATGGAAGGTCTTCTCATGCTCTTGACCTTGGCCAAGTTCAGGAGGTGTCTTTCCTAGATTGCTCACGGGGTTGGGGCAGCCCCCGGATCTTTGGAGGACTTGAACACACAGCTCCAGTTTGAGCCTGAACTGGCAGTACCTCTTCTGCTTCCTCTCCTACCCCTTTCCCTCCTTCCCTGAGCTGAGGGGAAGACTCTGGGGGGAGCCGAGCTGTGTGCCTCCCTCTGATGGCCTGGCCTCGGCTCAGGATGCCTGGGAAGGACCAAGACCTCAGCCATGCACATCAGGGGAGGGGGCGGAAATATTTTATTTTATTTATTTTTTGAATCACCGTGAGGTACAGTTACAGACTTACAAACTTTCGTGCTTACGTTTCAGTCACACAATGATCGAGTACCCATCCCTCCATCAGTGCCCATTATCGGGGCGGGGGGGCATTTTAAACCATTGCAGTATGGGGCTGGAGCAATATCACATCGGTAGGGCGTTTGCCTTGCTCGCGGCTGACCTGGGTTCAATTCTTCTGCTCCTCTCAGAGAGCCTGGCAAGCTATCGAGAGTATCTTGCCTGCACGACAAAGCCCGGCAAGCTACCCATGACGTATTCGATATGCCAAACACAGTAACAACAAGTCTCACATGGAGACATTACTGGGCCCGCTCGAGCAAATCGAGGAACAGCAGGAGAACAGTGCAGTGCAGTGCAGTATGGAACCCCGGGGGCACAGAAGGCAGACGGGATGCCCCCACTTACTCTGCTGATCTTCCTTTCTCCCCCTCCCAACCCCCTTCCAGGACAAGGTGGCAAAGCATGCAGCTGAAGCCCTAGCTTCCCTGTCGGGCACCGAGTACCAAGTGGGGCCCACCAGTACCACCGTCTGTGAGTATGCCCCGAGATTCTCGGGCTTTTAGCCGCCACTTGGAGGGGAGATATGAAAGGGAGGAGGCATGGGGCTGCAGCCGGGCTCCCTCCATGGCCTGGTTGTCTGATTGTTTTTGCTGTCAGTAATGGGCTGAATTTATGTCACGCCTGCGTGATAATGGCTGTTGCAGGCCCGAGTCTTAGTCAACATCCCGCTGCTATCGGGCTATTTATCACATGCCCATGACAAGTTAAGCCCTGTTGGCCTGGTACAGTCTGTGTTCCTTATCTTCCAAATGATCCTGCCATCATTTATCAAAAATTCCTCAAGCCCATCATTCTGCCTTTGGATTGGTGGGCTGGGATGGGAAGGGGGGTGCGGGGGGAGACTCCCCGACCTTTCCTGTCAGAAATGAAGAAGCACTGGTGCAGAGCATTCTGGGAGCTGGGTCAGGGGCTCCTCTCCACAGTAGGGTACTTCATCAGGCGCTCCCGCCTCAAATCCGGCAGAATCCCAAACCTAGAGATGGTTTGGGTTGGTTTTTCGGGTCACATACCCGATGGCACACAGGAGATATTTTTTTCTGACTCAGGGCTCAGGGGGGCTGTGTTCAGGGACCGGGTAGTACTGGGGAGAGGGCGACGTCTCTCCGACCCTGGGAACCTCATCTGGGAATGTCTCCTCTGAACACTCCCTTCTCTTCCCTCAGAGAAGCTTCCAATTCCCTTTCATTGCCAGATGATGGAGAAGAGTTTGCTCATGTTCCATGAGTCTAGTCAGAGCAGGGAAATACATACAGGGTCGGGGGGATGTATAAGTCCAATTGCGTTGGAGTCAGTGCTCTGCTCCCCCCGTTACGTGTTTCCTCTGTGAGTAGTTTCCCTTCAGCGGGTCCGTCTGAGCCCCTGCACATGTGCTGCCCGCGCGCCTTCCTCTCCCATCGTCTGTCAGTCTCTTTCCTCGGCTCCTGCTTCACTGCCTCCACTCTCCCCTGGTGTCCTCCTCCGGGGACTCTGCCTCTGGCTTCTCTCCCATCTCAGCCCTCTGCCTGCTCTCCCAGCTACCCTCCCTCCCCCCACGGAGCAGTTAGCTGTGATGTTGGTGTTTGTGTTGCTAATTGCAGCAACAACCCATTAATTATTCATGCTTTATTATTATTAGTTGTGTTAAACGGGAACTCCTGGGAGAACCCGCACACCCAGAGAGTTTCCGCCTCTGCTTAATTAGTCAGAACTGAGGCAGGACCAAAGGGAGCGCGTGAGACTTTCCAGGAGCCCCTGGAGCCGGAGGCTCAGAGAAGGTCTTCGCGGGCCACCAGAGTGCTGGCTTTTGGGTCAAACACCGACAGAGAATGACCTTAGCCTCCCACACCAAATGCATCTTTCTCCCCCAGGGGAACCATTTCTGAATTTAGAGGAACTCATCCTATTCTCCTGATAGAAGTGGAGAGAGGTCCTGTGTGGTATCCCTGAGATATTAAAAAAAAAAAGTCCTGCATTAGGGGCCGTGGATCACAGGCTTTGCATTGCAGGAGCCCTGGGCTGGGTCCTTGGCACTGCAGGGTCCTCTCGGCACTCCTGGAACTGGCTCCCGAGCACTGGACTAGGAGTAGCGTGTTCCCTTCTTCAGCACTGCCAGCTGTGATCCCAAACTTCACACACACACACACACACACACACGCAAACCCCATCCATTTCCCGCTTGGTTTCAGAGTCCATCCTCTGTCTTCCGAGCCTGCCTTCCAGGCCTATGGAAAACACAATCAGCTCTTGGGCTCTGCTCGTCCCACGTGCCCAGCAGACAGCTTGTGTTTGCTGCTCTCGGAGTGCAGGGCCTTTGCTGAGATTAGCCCTTTTGGATGGAAATGATTCCGACACGGATTTCACACTCCCCTGCTTTCGTAAGCAGAGCATGGAGGACAGCCTTTCTTCCCGACGACGGACGGGCCTTGTGAGGGCAGCTGTCCTGTCCCGCTGGCCTTCTGTGCTGTGCCGGACCCTCCCACCTCGCTCTCAATGTCTCAGCCTGTTTGCACACCCCCCCCCCCCCAAATGCTTCGCTCTTCAGCATTTCTGTGTCTGTTTCTCCGCTCTGAATGGATGGCCTGCGGCCCCACCTGCTCCCAGCGACCCCCTTCTCCTCCTTCTCGTCACGGATGCTGAGTTACGAAGGGCTTGTGTGCCAGTTCTTTGGGTAGCTAGAGCAGGAGCCATGAGGGTATTTGTGAAGGCGTCTATTTTTTTTTTTTAAATCCTGAGAGTGTGGTAAACTCCTCCATGTCCATCCGCAGAGTGTTAGTGCAAAACACGGCCCATGCATTTGTACCATGAAACGGTAGGTCATCAGCCCTGCCTCAAGTGAGGGAAAGCTGTATGCTAACTGGGAGCAATCTGCAAATGTTAATTGGACACTACAGTGAGCAGCACCGTGTTCATTGTAGTTTTCATGTGTGTGGCAAAATTAAAATAGAAAGAGGGCTGGTGCTAAGGACCGGAGCACGTGCCTGCCACACACCAGGTCCCAGGTTTGAATCCTGGCCCCACAAGGCCTCCTGAGCACCTCTGGGGAGGGTCTCCTCAAAAGAGTAGGTTGACTCTGTTGCAGGGACCCTGAGATGGTGAAGTTTAAGAACTGGCTCATTTTGATCATTCCGGTGGAGGTCTTCTGGCTTCCTTCCTGCACTTAAAATGTCTTCTGAGGGGGCTAGAGTGATAGCACAGCGGGTAGAGCATTTGCCTCGCACGCGGCCGACCCAGGTTTGATTCCCAGCATCCCATATGGTCCCCTGAGCACTGCCAGGAGTGATTCCTGAGTGCAAAGCCAGGAGTAGCCCCTGAGCATCGCCAGGTGTGACCCGAAAAAATAAAATAAAATAAAATAAAATAAAATGTCTTCTGAAACACATGAACTTGGCAGGGACAGACACCCTCTAAGAAAGGTGTCTGTCCCTGAGCATCTTCTCGGTACCAGGGCACCTCCGAAGAGCCTGTTCCAAGCACCTGGGGAGAGTGTGACCACAAGAAAAGTCACAAATGGTGTCATTAAAAACTCAGAAGCAGATTGAAGTGATAGCATAGTGAGTAGGTAGGTGCTTGCCTTGCATGCGGCTGGCCCGGGGTTCCATCCCTGGCACCACATGTGGTTCATTCTGATCCATGAGCACAGAACCAGGAATAAGTCCTGAACTGTTCTGGGGTATGCTCAAAAACAAAACAAAACAAAACAAAAAGATTTCCAGCCTAACCATTTTCCATCTCTTTTTTTTGGATACTCCACCCCCATCCCTCTTACCCCCACAAAGCCTGGTGTTTCTCATCCATAAAGCAAAGACAATATCCTCTACCTCACTGGATTCTTTAAAAAAAAAATTAAATGAGATCATAAATGTAAAGTTTCCAGGATAAAGACCGACATCGCCCTTTTTCCTCTGCAGCACCATTGAGCCTCGAATGCTGAGCCCACCGCAGGCCGCGAGTGTGGGAAGCAGGACAGACCCCTTGCCTTGCCCCAGCCCTTTGGCACAGGCAGGTCCCAGGGGCGCTTCTTTGTTCTCTCTGTGTAACCGTTTATCTCTTGCAATGTCAAAACGGAGCCTCAAGCCCAGCAGCTTAAAACAGCAAACAGTTGTTTCCTCACACTGTTTCGGTGGGGCAGGAATTCAGCTTAGTGGGGTGGCGGCAGCCCTCTGGGGAGGCTGCTTGCATGAGGATCTGCTTTTAATGGGGCTCACTCTGAGCGAGGGCCGGGAGACCTAAGCGAGCCAGGGCCAGGGTAGAGGCCTGACTGCAGGGCTGGGGTTGGAACTGGCTTCCGGCCCTCCGGCTCTCCCCGGAATGAGAGAGCAAGAAAATGCAAGGGGGCAATATTGCCTCTCTGCTCGCCGCTGGCCCCAGAGGGCACCCCCACATCAACGCTTTGTACTGTGTGGAGGGGGAGCCACACCAGGACGTGGGTGTCAGGGGACAGCGAACAGTGGGTCTCTCTTGGAGGCTCCCATTAGCCTCTCTGAAGATTGGGTGTAAGAGACCTGTGTGTTCTGAGCTGGTGGGGCGGGAGAGGCAAATGCTCCAGGCTCTTTTTTTTGTTCCTTTTTGGGTCACGACCGGGGACGCTCAGGGGTTACTCCTGGTTTTGGTTCTGCACTCAGGAATTACTCCTGGTGGTGCTCAAGGGACCATATGGAATGCTGGGAATCGAACCCTGGTTGGCCACGTGCAAGGCAAACGCCCTACCTGCTGTGCTATCACTCCAGCCCCAGTCTTTGATACCAGCAGAGATGCTGGCTGTGGATCAGGCCTGTGGTTCTATATGCTTGGCCTGAGGCTACTGGACAAGCTCTAGACTCCCACAGACCCAGAGGCAGGCTGTGCTCCCAGTCCGGGGCCCTCTGACCCCCAAAGCCAGCAAGCTTCTGAGGACTCTCTCTGCTGCCTTCCAGATCCTGCGAGCGGCAGCAGCATCGACTGGGCATACGATCAGGGCATCAAGTATGCCTTCACTTTTGAATTGCGAGATACCGGGCACTACGGCTTCCTCCTGCCGGCCAACCAGATCATCCCCACGGCGGAGGAGACCTGGCTGGGGCTGAAGGTCATCCTGGAACATGTCCGGGACAACCTCTATTAGAGGGTATCCCTATGTCCTGAGCTGCTCGCTCACGGAGACCACTCTTCTAGAATGCTCCTTCCGTGGAATCAGAGCGCCCTGACTTCGCATGAACTCAGATCGGACCTTCTCTGGTCCCCCTCCCGGAAGCTCATCCCTTTCAGTGGGAGCACGTCTGCTACCCCTTCCCAGCTGGGTTCTGCTGTCTGGCGGAGCCGGTTGTAGGTCCTGCTGCTTGGATAGGCTGTACTAAGCCCTGTTCTTAGGTGTTGTGTTTCTACTTCCTGTTTAGAACCAAAGGACAACTGAGATGGTCCCCTCATCCGTATCTTCCAGGGGAGACTCCACAAGAGCCTCGGCATCCTGGCCCTCCTGTCTTAGCCTCTTCTCAGAGGAGACTCAGAATTTCCTCCCATTCTTTCTCAAACACATTTTCCCTCAGGGTGGAAAAAAAAAATCAATCCTGGAGAGTCCACAGCGGCAAGGGCCGGGGAGTGTCATGTCCTTGGTTAGTTTTGTGGTTTTTTTTTTCTTTTTGCTTTTGGGTCTCACTGCAGAATGGAGAACCGCTTCCCATCTCGGGACCAAGAGACCCCGGGAGCCCCCATTTTGGTCACTTGCTTCCTGTTATTATTTAACCAGGACCCCAGAAGGAGTGTAACCAGGACCCCAGAAAGAACTCTGCCCCTCTAAGGCTCGTGCACCCCGAAACGCTCACAAAAGTGTGATGTGAAGAGCGAGGCTGCTAAATTACCCCCACATGTCCCGATGTATTCACCTCCACTCTGCCTTTTGAACTCACTTCAAAGATGTCGCCCTCAGCATCCAGGCCCTAAATCACCACCGTGGCCTGGATAATCTCCAGTCCGGCACTTGCCGCCGTGTGCTCTTCCTTACCCTGGCTTTTATTCTCCTGGCGCGCGCTCTCTCTCTCTCTCTCTCTCTCTCTCTCTCTCTCTCTCTCTCACTCTCTTTTTCTTTTTCAGTGGCCCCGAAAGTTGCTTTCTTTTCTTCTGCATCTGCGCCTGGAAGCACCAAGGTGGAGTAAGAATTTAGACATTGGGCATCTCTTGTTCCATTTCTCCTCAGCACAGACCATCTGCCCTCCACCTTTCTCTCTCTCTCTCTCTCTCTCTCTCTCTCTCTCTCTCGCTCTCTCTCTCTCTCTCTCTCTTCAAACAGGTCTGTAAATCTTACCCTTCTGCCTAGGATTTGTGCACATCTGGTGTGTGTTCATAAGCCAATAAATATTCAATATGAGTCTCCTGATCGTCTGCTATTCTTTGCCTTCACCTGAATGGAATCAAGCCATGGTTTTGAATATGCAGCTCGTTAGAATGTCAAAAGTCCATTTTAATCCCTGTCTGTATTGCCTGACGTGTGGGAAGCCCGGTTCCCTCAGGCCTCCGGAGGGGACCCCGGATGCTGTTCCCTTGGCGCTGTGGCACTGCTCCTGGGTCTCCTTGTTCAGTTGTTTTTAGCCTGGAAACCTGATATTCTCAGTGTCCCAGTTGATTAGACTGGGGGATGCTGACTCACGCCGACAGAACTCAGATGAGACAGATGATAAAATCAGAATACGAATTGATTAATTTACATCGTGGCATGTAACTGTTGAGTGGATTGGATTCTCACGTCGGCCCGAACAGTACATTCTCTCCCTGTAGGCACGATACATGAGAAACCAAATTATAATCAGAAGGTTGTTTAGTGAGCGGGGCGTCAGAGCAAGGAAAGTTAATTACAGTTTATGATTAGAATTTTTAATGGTATCCAGCTCTAATAGCATGATATATCCAATTCTATAACCAGAACACACCTGCCAACCAGCCAGCTGGTCGCTTGTGCTGGTTGGTTGGGCTGCCTGGGATTACATAGAGGAGGCATTATCACTTGCCTCCATGACCCATCTGTAACCTGGTCCCTTGGGTAGAAACCCAGGCCCCCAAGACTGGGGTCTAAACTAAAAACTTTAGATTCCTTCATAGAACAGTTTCTTTTTTCCTTTTTGGTGTTGCAGCCACACTCAGGGGTGTTCAGTCAGGGCTTATCCTGGCTCTGTACTCAGGGATCACTCCTGGCAAACTTCCTACCTGCTGTACTATCTCTCCAGCCCAATTGAAAGATCTCTTAAAAAAAAAAGAGATGCTTTACTTAAACAAGGTGGTGCTGCATGATGGAGCATTTGCAAATCAAGACCGCAGTGAGATGTTCAACGTAGAGAAAACAGATCATTGGAGAGAGAGCAGGTGAATGGCAACCTCAACTATTGCCCTAGCGACTGATTAAACCCTTCTTTCTGGAAAATAGTTTAGCGTTGTCTTCACACCTATTGACCTATTCCACTCTGGGCATAAACCCAAGAAATTCTTACACATATTTAAGAGAAGACATGAGTGAGAATGTTCTTAGCGACACAAATTATAAACAAATTGCAAAAACCTAAAAACCAGGTGCTGGAGCAATAGCACAGCGGGTAGGGCATTTGCCTTGCACGTGGCCGACCCAGGTTCAATTCCCAGCATCCCATATGGTCCCCCGAGCACCGCCAGGAATGATTCCTGAGTGCATGAACCAGGAGTAACTCCTGTGCATGGCCAGGTGTGACCCAAAAAGCAAAAAAAAAAAAAAAAAAAAAAAAAACCCAAAAAACCCCCTAAAAACCAAAACCAAAAACAACACTACCACAACCCCATTCCACCAGTGGTAGATAGAATAGGTGAGTAAAGCATGTTGTTTTCAAATACTAAAATATTGTACAGCAGTCAAAAATCAGGATGAGTTCCTTTCTAGAAAGTAGATGCAGGAAGAAATCTCATCAGACTTTTAGGACAGCATAAAAGTTTTGATTAAAAAGGGTGCAGCATAATATATGCACCCCACTGACCTGGTAGGAGTCCTTCGCACTGAATATAGTCCCCAAGCACCAGCAGAGGTTACTATGGAGCACAGAGCCAGAAATAGTCCTTGAGCACTGCCTGGTGTGCACCCACCACCTCCGCCCTCCATCAAGAAAAGAGAGAGAGAGAGAGAGAGAGAGAGAGAGAGAGAGAGAGAGAGAGAGAGGCAAGGGAAACAAAACAGAGCAGAAATGCCCAGAAGTCCATTTCCTCATTCACTGTAGGATCCAGCATTTGGAGTGTTGACTGCCAAGGAAGGCTCTAATGCCCTTTACCTGAATGGGGGCTCCCTCATTTGGTAGGTCACATACCTCTGTATCACTACCCTTCCTGCCAGCCAATGTGGGTGTACAGACTTTACCTCCGGGGGAAGTTTCCACTCTGGGGCAGACACACAGCCACGTGGGTGCATGCGTTTCTGTTTGAGTGTCTAGCTGATCCCCCAACCCTGCCTGCCTGTGCTCCCCGCCTGCCCTCCTTCCCAGCACTTCCTCAATAAATCATCCAAGAATTCCATTTCAGGCTCTGCTCCGAGGGAAAGGAACTTGAGATAACAGTAAATGAAGCAGCAGGGATTCATTACCTCAGATAGGGAGAGGGGCAGAGAGAAGGGCCCAGGGTCCTGGCTTAGATGAAGAGCCCTCGATCGTTTTAGCATCTACTTTTTTTTCAGGCACTTATTACATGATTAAAAAAATTAATAAGCTCATTAAGGGTCAAAATAAATAATAAAAGAAGGCTATGAATGCATCAACGATGATGATGCCATTAAGCAAGGATTATGATTAATCTTTTTCAGTGGGCCTGAAATTCAATTTGTAAAATGTTTATAGAGTTACAGGGTTTAACACAAAAAAAGGTTTTACTGTTCGATCTGTATTTATTGAGTGTCGGGTGTGTGCCAGGGATGGTTTTAGATGCTGACAATGCAACTGCAAACAAGAAGGGGAAAAAAATCCTTTCTTCGGCAGAATTGTATTAAAGTTGGAGAGGCAGGAAGTACTCAAGTTAGCAATTAAATGAAAGAATTTAATTTGGGTAATGATAGGGGCTCTAAATAAAATAAAGTTGCAAGGAGAGTGACAGGGGGTGGTAGAGAAGATGGCACTTGCACTTGGAGTATAAGATTACTCCTTTTTTCTTTTTTGATGTTTGCACAACACCCAGCTATAGTCAGGGCCAACTCCTGGCTCAGTCAGTGCTCAGGGTTGCCCCCTGCAAAGCTGGGGATCGGGGACCATGTGGTACCAGAGATCAAACCTGGGCCTTCTGCATGCAAACACATACAACAACCTATTAAGCCATTTCTCTGGCTCACAAGTTTATTCTTAACTTCCTTCTTTTGTAGTGTGTGTGTGTGTGTGTGTGTGTGTGTGTGTGTGTGTGTGTGTGAATCCCAAGGTGCTCAGAAGTTTTGGGGACCACATTGACCAACTGGGCCATTGGCTCAGCATGAGGCCCTGAGGATTTGATGCTGCCAGGGTCTGCAGGGCTGGGGATGCTCAGGTCACCTCAACCGTGCTGGTGGTCTCTGGAGTTGCACCTGGTGATGCTTCTGGGGGTCAACGTGATACCAGGAACTGAAACCCTGGGTGGTCACATAGCTACCACGATACTATCTCCCGGTCCTCTTTGCGTATATTTATTTACAGGGTTTGGGTCATACCTGGTGGCACTCATGGTTTACTCCTGACTCTGCACTCAGGGATCACTCCTGGTGGGCTTAGAGGACCATCTGGGAACCTGGGTTGGCCATGTGCAAGGCAAGTGCCCTTCCCACTGTACTATCACTCTGACCCCTGGTATTTTTTTTTTATTCTCTCAAAAAATTACTTGGGAAAAAAAAAGGTGGGCTAGATAGTCTGCACATTTTATGAATAGAAACCTCAAGAGCACCATGTTTGTTTAAGACAAATAATATGTTTTGCACTCCGGGTGTAGACAGCACAAAAACCTAAAGCCATGTCATAACTTAAATTTCAGATACACTTTTATTGCCCCCCCCCCCCCCCCTTTTCTCCTTGCCTTTGTTGTTGTTCTGATGGCAGGGTCACTGGCAAACATAGTTGTGGCACTCGCCTCCTTTTCACTTGTGGTGCGCTGGAGATCACACATTTTGTG